CGTAGTCTTCTTATAGCTTTTGTGGAAGATTCTGAGTGGCCTGGCCGTCGTGTCTCAGAGGCTAATCATAGTGTGGCAGCAGCACCATTTCCCCCTTTGTTCGCACACATCCTTCGAAGCATTACACGAGGTCTCCACGTACTCAATCTTGTTGACTTTGGTGATACCGAGGTGTATTCTAATATGAGTGTTAGGGACCCCAGGTAGTATCTCAGTGATATCCTGTCTTCTTATGCGCAGCAACTCGCCGGACCTTAAGCTCGGTGATATCCCGCTGAGGAGAGCTGATCGTACAAGGCTTTTCTCTGGTTTATCCTTGAACTGGGCCTCAGGACAGTCAAATAGGGACTCAACTGCACTCTCACCGAGAGTGTCTCTCGGGCATTATGGCAGCGCGCTTGGCATCCCGCTGGGGCCTTATACCGTATAAGTTATACGTTAACCAGCCTGCATGGCTTGCTTGATAAGCATTTCATCCGCGGCCTCCATGGTGCTAAAGCCTTCCAGTTTCTGCAAAGTCCTTAGGGCTTTAATTCGCTTCTGTACCGAGGTCGAATTCAGCCCAGTTACATCCAACAGGCGTCTGATGTATCGGATAACTTTACCAGCGTTGAGAGGGGGGGACAATCCCATCTCATAGACCTCTCTTCTTGCCCTTTCGTAGCCTCTTCTTGTGTCCTCACTTATCGAGAGCCCTAGTAGCTCCAGATTCTGAGCAGTAGCCTCAGCTGAACCGTGTGCGGGCTGAATCTCGTTCCACTTCGTGAACTTCACGACGTGAAGGCGGAGTTTTCTGACCAGGGGCGGCTCCAGGCCTACCAGTAGAGGGGGGCTCAGGGGGAGCGGGAATTTTCTCTTGGGGGGCACTTCGATTATACATAACAACATGCCTCGAAGACGAAACCTCAAACCTCGGCCGCCCCCCGGCGCCCCCCCCCTACCGCCGCCCCTGTTTCTGACATGGGGGATGTAGCGGTCCAACGATGACGGACGAATCTGGCATCCCTTTAGTTGGGCCCACTCAAATTGACAGGAACTCAGTCGGGTCCGCAAACGAGAAACCGAGCACTATGAGCCCACGTTAGTCGTGAGTCGCAACTTCTGACAAAGGTGAAGTCTTACAGACTTAAAGAGGAGTGAACGCCACAGCTTTTTTAAGGACTTAACGTGGCACCTCCCGCCACGACCTCGGCATTTGACCGGTGGATACCAACGAAGCACGAGTTAACCTAGAGATATCATCAGCTATGCTGTTCAAGGTCCCGGGAATATGATGAGCATTGAGTCGGTAACGGAAGTCGCCGAATTTCCGAACGACGGAAGCAAGGCTCATAGAGCGTGGCCTGAAGCTTCTTAGTACTGACACCGTACAAGTGTTGTCAGAGAAGCATCTGATATAAGTCACCCGCGGAGCACATATTGCCCGGATGTACTCGAAGCCGTAATAGACTGCGAGTAGTTCGAGGAAATTACTATCACCGCTGATGAACTTCACTGGTTTCAGCTCGGCAGGAAGTTGATCATAGAGCCGATTCCTGCGCTCATACCAAATCTGCCTCCAAATCTCGGGGTTTTCCTCCATATTTATCGAAAACTATCTTAGATCCGAGTATCGC